ATATATTTATTTATTTATTTATTATGTATACAGTGTTCTGGCATGTATGCCTACACACCAGAAGAGGGTGTCAGATCTCATTACAGATGGTTGTGAGCCACCAATTGGTTGATGGGAATTGAACTCAGTACCTCTAGGAAGAGCAGTCAGTGCTCTTAACCTCTGAGCCATCTCTCTCGCCCTCATTAATGTTTTTATCTTAGCCATTCTGACAGGTGTAAGATGGTATCTCGGAGTCATTTTGATTTGCTTTTCTGTGGGAGCCCATTTTCAGGTTTCCTAGTGGCTTTACACAGCAGGCCTGCATAGAGAGGATGATTGGACCCCAGGCCTGAGTGCAGGTGTTTGTAACTAGCAAGGGGGAGGTCTTTTGCTCTACCCCTTGGCATTGTTATAAATAGACCTTTGGAATAAAGTTCTGGGCTGGTGGATAAGGATCCAGGCCCACCCAAGTCTATCCTGTGTTTTCTCTGTTTCCCTTTCCTCTGTTTCTAAGTCTCTTATCTCTCATTCCTCAAGAGTCCCTGGGGTAAATAAGTTTGGGGGCTGGTCCCCCACAGATGGTGCCCAAACAGGGACAAAGAATAAGAATAAAAAGAAAAAAATAACCCTAGAACTTGGTGAAAGGATTGTGGGGGCATTGCGAGTGTAAGCATGCTGATAAGGAATTAAAAAATGAAGGCAACAGTATTTTATTCTCGGGTATGTAGGTAGGCAGTGAAATACTGCAAGGCTACAGCATTAGATCTCTCTCTCTCTCATCTATAAAAATAAGGAAGGTAGAGTGTAGCAATATAGAACATGAAAAACTTAGAAGTGTAAGGTAGTGTAGAAAAAATTTACTTAAGATGAGTTAGGCTACTAGACAGAAAAACAGTCTTCAGGGGCTACGAATGCAAACTGGGGAAAAAAATCTATCTTCTTTGAGCTTTACGGGCAGAGAAAAGCTCTTCTTTGAGCTTATCAGGTAGAAAAAAGATTCCTATGGAAGCTTTTGGCCTGGGCACAGCTAAAATGCTAAAAAAGCAGCAGAGCAGATTTCCTTTGCATCGGGTGTGGATGGAAACAAAAGTCCTCTGCTCAGTCAGCAGTGCAAAACCTTACCCTCAGAATTAGTTCCCTCCAGGTCATGAAACTAAAAAATTTTAGAGAACAGAAATCTTAGGAAAAACTTAATCTTTCTCTTTCAAACTAAAAGTTTTCTTAGAAAACATAATCTTTCTCTGTAACATGAATTTTAAAAGGTCTTATTAATAAAAACAAACCCAGGGCCAGGTATTGGGGTGAATACTGGAAGATCAGAGAGACAGAACACAAACCACAGCTGACCTCATCTCGCCAACTTCTCAGCTGATCCTTCATCCTCGAACTGGAAGCCTCTGATTCCTCACCTGAATGAATCTCAGCTGAACTGCTGCTAAAAGCCTAAAAGCATAACCAGGCTCTAGTTCCTGGTCCTCATGCCTTATATACTTTTCTGCTTCCTGCCATCACTTCCTGGGATTAAAGGCATGTGTCACCATGCTTGGCTGTTTCCAGTGTGGCCTTGAACTCACAGAGATTCAGGCGGATATCTGCCTCTGGAATGCTAGGATTAAAGGTGTGTGTGCTACCATTTTCTGGCCTCTATATCTAATAGCTGTTCTGTTCTCTGACCCCAGATAAGTTTATTATGGTACACAATATATTGGGGAACACAATATCACCACATTTCCCCTTTTTTTGTCTAAAATTTAAAAAGCTTATAACTAATACAAGAAAAAACTATATCCAATAAGTATATACAATATATACAGTCAAGAATTACATTAACAATGTCTAGTCCATTAACATTTGACAGAATCAGACAAAAAACTCCAATATATATATTAACAATGTCCAGTCCATTAACATTTGACAAATTCAGATAAAAAATTTTCATTACTTACCATATTTAAAACAAGTAGTTCCTTTTTAAAAGTAGATTCAGTAATCTCCCTTTTTAATCTTATCATATCCATATTCTCTTTTTTTTTGAGTAGATCCAAAAGTCTGCCTTTTATCTTATAATTTCTATATCTTCTCTTTTTTCAGAGTAGATTCAATGATCTACCCTTTTCTATGTCTTCTTTTTTCCTTTTTTTTTTTTTAAACAAGAACCCTGTATCTAATCTCCTTTGTTTAGCTTTTAGTTTTTTTGGGAGGGGGTATTTATTACTTGTACATATTGTATATAGTTATTGTATTTATGGTATATAGTTTTTCTTATATTAGTTATAACTTTTTTTTCTTTTTTCTTTTTATTAGAATAAAAAGGGGAATGTGGTGGTACTTTATTTGTGTTGAAATGTGATATTTTATTTGTATGTTATTAAATAAAGTTTGCCTGGAGATCAGAGGTCAGTGAGCCATAAACAGAAGTCAGGCGGTGGTAGCCCATGCCCTTAATCTGATCACATGGCAGGCAGAGAGTCTCTATGTGGTCAAGGACACAGCCAAGGGTGGTGACCCACACCTTTAATACCATTACCAACCGTAGAGACCTGGAGGTCTGTATAGACAGGAAGTGACTACGAAGTCTTGTGTCTGAGCTTAGAGCCAATGAGAAGGCAGAACAGGAAGGCAATAAAAACACAGGTTAGATGGGAAGAAACTCTCCCTGTGGAAGCTACTGCATGGTGGTAAGATAAGGCTAGTCGTGGCTCTTCTCTAATCTCTTCGGCTATTACCTCTGTATTTGGCTCTGTGTTTCTTATTTAATAAGACTGTTTAGAAATTCATCTACAAAACCCTGTAAAGGGAACTGGAAAGTTTGCTAGCATACCCGAAAGGTTTCTGGGAAATGTAATATCAATGCAGGTTTTAAGCAGTGCCTTATATGGTCTAATAGCTGCACAAGGAATTTTTGCTAAGAGCTTTATGGCAGTTCAGTACAGGAATTTCACCCTCAGCCTAAGATGGGGCTTTATGGTAGCTTTTCTGCTGTAACAGAAACATTTGTCTAAATTATGGCACAGGAGAGCTGTTATGAATATGGGTAAAGGGACAGCCTCTGGTTAGAAACCGTTTATCACTGAGAGTGCATCTCTACCAGTTCCAGAATGGCTGAGAGAGCTTGGTGGGAAAGATGACTTTGGGGAGTAGTGTTTGTTCAAAAATGTTCCCTAGCATCAAGTGTTACAACTCCATAGCAACAGAACTCACTAAATCCCAGCGTTGAAAGAGCCATTGACAAATCTTACTTCAAACTCTCAAGAACTTTTAGAATAATATCAGAACTTTACTATGAACTCTGAACTTTACTAAATGATTTGCGTACTTCTGGTCTTGTTTAGTTAAAAAATTCTTTTCTGAGTGTTAAGAAATATCTTATAGATGTTTGCTTTAGTGTTAAGTTAGTTCTGTTATATGTAAAGTGATAATAGTTAAGAATCTCTTCTAGATGTTAAGGTTTATAAAGTAGACCTATAGAATGTAACTAAGACTTAGGCAAGGTTTAGGTTTAAGTGAGACTTGGGTAAGGTTTATAAATATAGGTTTAGGGTAGCCCTATAGAGAGTTTGCTAAGAGATTCTTCCTAGTGTAAGTTAGTTAAGAGTAAGAAGTAATATATCTCTTTTAGGTATGTGATAAGTTAGATATTTGAAAAAGTATATGCAGGTTTAGAACATACAGGCTTTAGGTTTAAGGATATGGTGAAGAAAGTAATTTAGAGTAGGTTTTCCCAACCTGGGATGTGGAGAGCAATGTCCATGGTGGACTGTGAACTTGGCAGTTCCAGAAACCATCAATAATAGCAAGAAGCAGTTCCAGAGACTGCTAGCTTCAGAAAGTAGCAGCAGAAAGTAGTGTCCACTGCTGAGACCGTGGACCATCATAGCTTCTCAAGCAGCAGATGCCAAGAGCCAGTGAAAGCAGAGCCAGCACTAATGGCTAGGGTCTGCAGGCTTTCAGACGTGAAGAAGACACAGTGAGAAGTGGACACACTAAGCCACAAGAAAGGCAAACAGTGATGCCACACTGTGGGAAAAGTGAACAGCAAGCAGAGCAGCAGTGAACAGCTGTAGCTGAAGTTTTCCTGGTCCTTCCCAGCTCCCGTGGCCCTGCGGCTGTTTGGACCCAAGTAAACACACAGAGGTTTATAGTAATTAAAACTGCTCATCCATTAGCCCAAGCTAACTATTGACTAGCTCTCACACTTAAATTAACCCATAATTCTTATTTATGTTTACCCACGTGGCTTGGTACCTTTTCTCAGTTCTGCCTTCACATCTTGCTTCCTCTGTGTCTGGCTGGCGACTCCTCTTCTGCCTTTCTCCTTCCTCTCTAGTTAGAATGTCCCGCCTAACCCTATTCTGCCTCAACATTGGCCAAGTAGCTTTATTTATCAACCAATCAGAGCAACATATTTTCACAGCATACAAAAAGACACTATCACTTCCCTTTTTTTTCCTATTCAAAAGGAAGGTTTTTAACTTCAACATAGTAAAATTACATATAACAAAACAGTTATCAAGCAAGAATTATAGTTATAATATCTAGTCTATTTATATTTGGCAAAATTAAAGAAGTTATCCTATCTATCCTATATTTGTGAGTCTATAAAGTTCCATATCTAATTTATCTTTCATCATAACCAAGGAAAATTATAACTGTCTAGTCTTCAACTACATCAAAGACCTGAGAAGGATATAATATTACCTAAGTAAACAGGAAATGCATTATAAGCAACTTTCAAAAATCTAGAATGACAGAGACAGCTGGCTGCCTGGACAGTCATCCAAAGTTGCCCTATAAAGTTGGGGCATCTGTCTTCAGCCTATAGGTTTAGCATATCTGATAGATTCATTTGTGAAGTAGGATGTACACAAGGCCTACAGTTTGACCTCATATTTGGTGAGAGTAGTCCATGTACCAGATAAACCTGAATTCCACCAGTGTCCTGTCATGATTCGGGATTTTAAATTCTGGAAATTGCTAATGTTTTTAGAATTCGGCTGTCCATTCTTCTTCGCTTGTAGGTGGCTTCATCTCAGCATCCCATTCTTCTCTGCATACCATTCTTCTCGGCTTGTAGGTAGCTTCATCTCTTTTATTAAATGCCAGTGTACCATTGAGAAGTTAGACTCTGTCAGCCTAGTTACTCTTTCAAGAATAACTGTTTCAGCTACTATTCCACTGCACACCAGAAGCCATTGGTCCACTGCCTGTTCAGCTGCCTTCAAAGAAAGGGGCACTGTACCTTTTCTGGATTGCAAAGGTTACTTCAGCGATGGTGCTATATTGTCCTGGCCTCAGAGGATGCCTGTTGCTAAAGCCAGAACCACACTTGTCTTGGCAAGGATCAGTAGTACTTTAAAGACACTCCCATTAAACAGCAGAGACCGCAGAGTTCAGACTGCTTCTGGAGGTCAAGTGCAAAATGGTATCAATGCCAGACAAGCAGCTGAGATGCGCTGGAAAGCAGGAAGCTGTGGAGGTGAGAACTACCAGCCTGAGGCTCTGTGGGAACTGCTGAGACTGATTGCAGCCCAAACTCCCAGCAGTGGGATGTGACTGCAATCATGGAGTTGCCCTGAGGCTACATTTGTTGATACAACAGGACAGCATATGGAGGATTCTGAGACCCGGTTTCCTGGGCACTTGGACCATCAGCGATGCAGGTAATTGGATTTTCCTCCCAAAGCAAGGGTTGCTACGGGAATGCCACAATTTCAGTTCATGGCAGCTGAAAGAGCCTTGAGCCTGTATGGCTATGAGGTGAAGCTCTCTAGCCTGGTCTGGAAGTAGCACGGTTACAGAAGGCTACAGACTGCAAAGTGCAGCTGTAGCGGAGGTTTCAGAGAAACTTGTTTGAACTGAAAAGCTTTGGTTGTGGAACTTTTCGTATTTGGAACTGTTAGCTTCAGAGTCATTATGACTCTGACAGCTATATACAGACTTAAGGGCAGCTGACAAGCCAGGCCCTGACTAAGAATGCTCAGAGAAACTTTTAGGAATGGTACCAGAACTCTTTTTGAACTAGAAATGAAATGGACAGTAATGATTTCATTACAGTGGGACAGTTTGAATTTACTTACGCATATAGACTCTATCAATAGTGATAATAGAACTGTTTATGTAAAAATGGAACTGCTTATAGAGAAATTTAGTTTTCTAACTAGGCTTGAGACTTAATATAAACTGTAAAGAAAAGAGAGAGTTAATATTCCTCAGTATATTTAATTTAAAAAACATTTTCATGTTACTTGAGTGAATTAATGTTATGTTTTGTATAGTTCTATTAAGAAATTGTTTTTGAAAGTAGGTTTGTAGATTGAGTGTAGGAATTAACCTGTTGATATTGGTGCACCATGGTTTGGTGAAGTTAAGTAAATATTTAAGTTTAAGGTATATGCATCAGAAGTTTTTCTTGTTAGCAAGAAATTAAAATGGTTCCGTTAAGAGTTTGCTTTAAGATGTAAGATTGAGAAAATTGTAACTATGTATAGCAATTCTAACCTGTTATGTTAATGATGAAGCTAAGGGATTCTTTAAGTTGGATACAATTTCATCAAGAGATTTTTAGTTTAGAAAGGGCTTGATGCAGTTAAGACTGATGTAGTCACTTTAGATGCATTCCAAAAAAGAAATGCCATCTTTATCATCCTCTACTCCCATACTAGGAGGTATGACAGCTATTAGAGATTGCTGTAAGCTATTAATGGGGAGTTATTTTTATATATTAAAAAGGGGGACCTGTGGAAGCCCTTTTTCAGGTTTCCTAGTGACTTTACACAGCAGGCCTGCATAGAGAGGATGATTGGACCACGGGCCTGAGTGCAGGTGTTTTGTAACTAACAAGGGGGAGGTCTTATGCTCCAACCCTTGGCATTGTTATAAATGGACCTTTGGAATAAAGTCCTGGGCCGGTAGATAAGGATCCAGGCCCACCCAAGTCTATCCTGTGTTTTCTTTCTGTTTCTCTCTTCTTTATTTCTAATTAAATCTCTTATCCCTCATTCCTCAAGAGTCCCTGGGGTAAATAAGTGTAGGGGCTGCTCTCTCTCTCTCTCTCTCTCTCTCTCTCTCTCTCTCTCTCTCTCACTCTCTCTCTCTCTCTCTCTCACACACACACACACACACACACACACACACACACACACACACACACACACTTTCCCCTGATGGCTAAGGATGTTGCACAATTCTTTAAGTTTATCTGGGCCATTTGGGATTCTTCTGTTTAGATCAGTGCCTATTTTTTAAATTGGATTATTTTGTATTTTGATGTCTAGTTTCTTTGTGGAGATCAGCCCTTCGTCAGATGTGGGTTGGTAAAGATCTTTTCCCATTCTGTAGGCTGACATTTTGTCTTACTGACAGTGTACTTTACCTTACAGAAGCTTTTCATTTTCATGAGGTTCCAGTTATTATTTGTGCTACTGGTGTTATATTCTGGAAGTTGTCTCTTGTGCCCTTGTGTTCAAGGCTACTTACCACTTTCTCTTCTATCATGCTCAGCCAGCAACTCCAGTGGCCCAGAACCACTCAGGTCCTCTCCTGTCTTCTCTAGTCCTTTCTCATTTCCTCCAGGTGTCCTCCTGTCTCCTGGGTCTCCTCTCCCCCTCCCCTTGCATCTCCTCAAATTCAGTAAGCTGTCAGGTCAAAAGTAGAATCAACATACAGTAGGCTGAAGGAATGGAGACTACCCCTGTTTGCTATCTGGCTAGAGCCCAGACTGGTGTGGAATTTGTTTGAATTCTTCTGCCTCAGTGCCTTGACTGTCAATTCAAGATTGAAGGGCTCATGGAGAGCTGATGACCATGTAACAGATTTGAAATACTTTCAGATAGGCCCTGAGAGGACACCTGGAGGTGTGGTAGATTCTAGGACCATAAGATGACCAAGGAGAGCTACAGATGTGGAGTAGAGCTTGGGTAGTAGGAAAGCTGTGTATGCTGGGGATGGCAGAGCCGTTCATGGAGCATCCCTAGTTCCTGAAAACCCAGAATATCATTAAAGGTCTCAGAATTTGCACAATATGATACAGGAAGCTGTTGAGTTTTGATTTCTTTAAATGTGATTGATTATTTGTTATGCTCCCATTCTTCCCTTTTTGAAAACAGTGGGATGATACTAATTTTTTCTTTCCACACAGTATACAGTTAGGAGACTGTAGTATTTTTAAGTGTTGGAAAATTTAAGACTATGGATTTAAGAAGGTGAAAGTGTTTTATTATATGATTAACATGAGACTTTGGGGGCCATGGAGGATAGTGTCTTATTTGATAGGGATGTTTCTGATTGTGTGTTAATTTTATTGGTTAATTTTAGCTGTCAACTAGATACAACCTAAAATCACTTGGAAAGTGTTTGAGGTATTATGGAGATTAGGTTGACCTGTGTGCGCATCTGTGATAGATTGGCTTGATTTTTGATTGATATAAAATAAGGAGCCTACTCTGGATATCATCATACTATAGACTGATTTCTGAGTTGTCTAAGTGTGAAGAAAGCAGAAAAGAAGAAAGCAAATATGTGTTTATTCTCCTTTTGAACTTGAATGGGCATGTGATGTGATTAGGCTCTTGAGTTCCTGCATTTATGTTTTATAAATGATTGATTGTAACTTAAAATTGTGTCAAATGAATGTTTTCCACCAAAGTTACTTTGGGTCAGGTAACTTTATCAACTTAACAGGAATGAGAGTATACCATTGCCTTCGTGTTGCTCAAAATGGAAAGAACCTGGACATCAATTCATGGATGTCTGCAAGGCCTCCTACTGAAACACACTTTTAATAGTGAGCCCCAACATAGAAGTGTGAATTCTCTTCCGTGTCACTAATATATAATTTCATTAATGCTGTCTAGTGCTTTTTTAGTTTTGATGCCTGTGAGCATGCTAACTGGTCAAACTGACTGGTTTTTCCAGATAGACAGAAAGTCAGCCAGCAAGTCAGGAGAAAATGTATATAAAGTTGTAGACATATATTTTTTATTGGTAAAGATGTTGAAATAGGACTGGGTAACAACTTTAGATGAATGGGATTTTAGATGTTAGTATTCTCTTAACATGATGATCACTTGAAAAATGACATTGGAAAAACTTGAGCATGTTGTAAATATCCAAATAAGTTACAAAGAAGTTCATAACAAATAAAACATTCTAAAAGGGCATTTTTCCTAGAAAAGAGTACTAATTCCTGAAGTCAAAATGGAGATTATTTCTAATGTTACTGTCTTTTCATTTATTTAATGATTGTTTTAGGTTGGTGTGAGACACAGATAGCTACTCAGTTTATTCAGCATTTTAGTGGAGATACATGCCATGGAAATAAGTCCCTCCCCCCTCCTTTTTGAAAGGTCACATGGATGGGTGTAATCTTAACCATAGGATACAGTGTGAATTGCTAACTAAAGAGAAAGTGCCTTGCTCTTTTTCCACAAAATAGTCCGACCACCATATGAGGTAAACTTAAAGTACTTAAAGTAGCCTAGGTACAAAATCATATTACACTTACACTTGGTTTTTAAAAGAAAAGAGAAATGGTTCAGCGGTCACTCATATAGAGCTTCTTGATCCACTAGCATGCCTTTCCAATTACAAATGAGAAACTGAAAAGAAAAGAAACACTAAAATCCATGGTGACATTGAAAATAATCTGCTCCTGAGGTCCGAATAACTTGTAGAGGGATCTCAGTCCCCATTACCATTTTACCTTAATGTTCACCCATGGATAGACTAACATTTTCATGAGGTCCTATTTGAAGTTTATAAGAAGGATTTCTCCAATTTGATTAACACAACTATGTCACACTACAGATTAGTGTTAGCATTGATTCCACCTTGATCCTAGAAGGAAGAAGTGGAGTTACCATGAGCTTAGTATTGATTATAAATTGACTTGGAATTGACTGGATCACAGAGGTATGTTCAAAATGACCTTATAGATCAGAACACACCAGCATGCCCTACCTCCTTATCACTTCTGGAATACAGGAAGCAGGTGCTCAGCTACTGGAAACTCAGTGGGACTTTCTCTACCTCACTGTGCAGGTCCACCTCCTTGGTGCAATATTAATCCTAAAATGAGCTAGATTCTTTTCCACCTTTCCCACCAATTGGTCCTGGACTTCCCTGTGGAATCATGTGAACTGATTCCATATTGTAGCTTTTCAGTTGTTTGCAAAGATGCCCTGTCTCCATCATGAGTCTTTTCTTCTTTCATGTATTTTAAATGCCTTGATTCATAATGTTCTTAGTTCTCTTATTGCTATTTTGGAACACAGATTTTGTGTTAATCTAATGTGTGTTCGTTGATCATTGTCACTAATATTTAGCTCCAGAATTCACTTTTATGGTTTGAATGTGAAATATCCACCACAGTTCATGAGTTTGAACCCTGGATTCCAAGCTGTCAGTGACATTTTGCAGTTGTACAACCTTTATGAAATGGAGCCTCCTTTGAGAAATGGATTGCTGTGGAGTACTCAAGTTTTATACCCATTAGAAATTTCTGTTTGTTCTCTAATTCCTGACCTTGGACCCAATTCTGGAGCTAGACTCACAACACTGTTCCCAAATCTTTCCCATCATATTGGAGTATTTCCCCCCTGGAACTATAAGCTATAATATACCTTTCATATCTTATATCACATATTGCTAATTATTTTGTTGC